AATCATCTGGACCCCAGCCATGTCTCACCACCTCCTTCCTTCTCTACTGCTTTGGTCCAAGCTGCTACCTTCTCCCACCTGCATTACTGGAAAAGCCACCATCTTATCTGGTTTCCTTGCTTGGTACGAGTTTCCTTACAAACTTTTTTTTTTTTTTTTGAGACACAGTCTCGTTCTGTGGCCCAGGCTGGAGTGCAGTGGTGCGATCTCGGCTCACTGTAACCTCCGCCCAGGTTCAAGCAATTCTCCACCTCAGCCTCCCAAGTAGCTGGGATTATAGATGCCCGCTGCCATGCCTGGCTAATTTTTTGTATTATTAATAGAGACATGTTTCACCATGTTGGCCAGGTTGGTCTCTAACTCCTGACCTCATGATCCACCTACCTCAGCTTCCCAAAGTGTTAGCATTACAGATGTTAGCCACTGCACCCAGCCCCTAGAAACCATTTTTAAAGCAGCAGCCAGAGTGATCCTTTTAATGCACAAGTCAGATTATGTTACTCTTCTGCTCAAACCCCTTAAATGCATCCCAACTCAGAGAAAAAGACAAAGCCCTTACAAAGGTCTTCAAGGTCCAAAGTGATCTAGTCCAACTATACCCAGTGCATTCTAAGCACCAGCCATAGTACTCCTGGAAGACGTCAATTATGTTCCCACCTCAGGCCTTTGCACCACTGGTTATTCCCTCTTCCTTGAATGTTCTTCACAAGATATCTGCACAGCTCCCTCTCTTATCTCCTTCTCAGCAAGGCCTTTCCTGGCCACACTATTTTAAATTCCAGCCACCTCCAGAAGCCCTCCCTAACTCCCTCACCTGTATGATTTTTTTTTAATTTTGCTTATCAATATCTGACATAACAGACATTTTATTTTTTTACTTACTGTCTCCACTAACTAAAATATAAGCTCTATGAGGACATGGGCTCTTATTTATTCACTAACGTAACATCAGAAAGGTAGCTCTGAAGGAAGGAAAACAATTGGGGATGAATAATAAATACTGTTAGGAAAACATGGCAGGGAAGTTGGGGAGGAGTACTGGGGGGCTTGGGAGAGAAGGGCTGCAATTTGACATAGACTGTGCAGGAAAGGCCTTAAGAAGGAGATATTTGAGCAAGGACTTGAAGGCAATGAGGGAAGAAATCACTCAGCAAAAATCAGCTATGTCATTCGCCCAGGGCCAGTAAAAAATGAAAGTGTGAGGCCCTTGTTCACAAACTATTAAAAATTTCAAGAGATGACAGCAGGGCATTAAACCAAGTGTGAGGCCTTTCTAAGCATGGGGTCTTGTGCGACTGCACAGGTCACATGCCCATGAAGCTGGCCCTGTATCCAGCTAGTAGGGAAAGACAGATGGAACGGCAAGTGCAAGAAGACCAAGGAGAAAGAATGCTTTGGAAACAAGCAAAGCAGCCATCCTTGTTAAAAATAGACTCTTGCCAGGTGCGATGGCTCACACCTGTAATCCCAGCACTTTGGGAGCTGAGGAGGTTGGATCACAAGGTCAAGAGTTCAAGACCAGCCTGGCCAACAGAGTGAAATCCTGTCTCTACTGAAAATACAAAAATTAACTGGGCATGGTGGTGCATGCCTATAGTCCCAGCTACTTGGGAGACTGAGGCAGAAAAAAAGCTTGAACCCAGGAGACAGAGGTTGCAGTCAGACGAGATCGCATCACTGCACTCCAGCCTGGGTGACAGAGCGAAAGTGTCTCAAAAAAAAAAAAAAAAAGCAGAGACTCCTGGACTCCTTTTCTGGATATTCCAATCCCATAGATACAATGTCAGCTAGAATCCTTTATTTACAGTTTGCCTCGGGGCACTCCTGTCCTGCCTAGGCAAGTTTGAGGAACATGGATATATTCCCACATCCTGAGATGTGCCCCACTGCCAGTCCTTCAGCACCACTTCAAAAAATGGCTTCCCAGCTTGTTGCCCTTGTAATCCAGGGCTGGCAACCAGGTCTCCATCTCTACCCACTGTCGGAGTCTCTGCTCTGGGAACCTCCTCGTACCTAGAGTACTACTGGCTCTTACCAGTCCTCCACCAAAGGACTAAAGTCCTGCCTGGACACCCAGCTGGGTGGCTGAGCAGCTGCCATGAACAGACAGGCTTCCCTGAGAGTTTCTGCTCATCTGTCCAGGATTGCCAGACATAGCATATAAAGGTCAACTGTTTGCCTGGACTGACTTAATTTCTAGGTGTAATGTCTCGGGTCTCTAAGCCCCCAATATCTCATTTTGACCCTTTAAAACAATAATTTAAATATGTTGTAGATGATCTTGCCAGTCAATATTAGAAACCTAATTTGCTTAACTTCTTTCTGTTCAGTCAGGAGAAGAAAAATATTTTTCTGTCTTTTTAGCTTCCAACTTGAAATCTCACAGTAAGTAAACCCAATTAATATGTGCAGATATTAGGCCAACGCAGTGGCTCACATCTGTAGTCCCAGCACTTTGGGAGGCTGCGGTGGGTGGATTGCTTGAGCCCAGGAGTTAAAGACCAGCCTGGGCAACATAGTTAGACTCCATTTCTACCAAAAATAAAAAAAATTAGCTGGGCATTTGGCTTGAGCCTACAACAAAGAGTTATCTGGACCATAACATCATGAACTGAAAGTGTGAGGTTGGGAAACCCTGTAATGAACTATGTATCACTATAGTCCCAACTACTCAAGAGGCTGAGGAGGGAAGATCACTTGAGCAGCAACAGTTGAGGCTGCAGTGAGCCATGTTATTGCCATTGCACTCCAGCGTGGGTAACAGAGTAAGACCCTGTCTCAAAACAAAACAAAACAAAAACTGAAGCTATCAAAAGAATATCACTTCACTGTTATGATAAGTCTTATCACTTTCACTGATTCTATATTACCAGTGGAAGAGTCTCTAAAATTTTTATCAACTATAAGCCAGGGCCCAAAGTAATGAGAAATATATGGAATAAACCAGTGGTCTTCAATCACAGGTAAGTTTGCCTCCAAGGGAACATTTGGCAATGCCTGAATAGGGGTGCGTAAGTGCTAGACATCTAATGGGTAGAGGCCAGAGATGCTGCTAAATATTCTACACTGCTACAGACAACCCCCTACAACAAAGAGTTATCTGGACCATAACATCATGAACTGAAAGTGTGAGGTTGGGAAACCCTGTAATGAACTATGTGTCACTATCAATCATACTTCCTGATTCATTATACTTGTGTTTAACTCTTAAAAATCAGAGTCTTTATAAAAGCAATGAAAAATCTGATTTATAGTTTAATTTTTAAAAAGGATAATAAGGTTAAAAAGGTAATGAGATTATATTAGACATAACAGGGATTAGAAAGCATTTGATCAAAAGTAGAGAACTGCAGTAGACAGATGTATAGGAGCTCTCTATAATGAACTCAAGTGAAACCATGGAGGGCTGTGGGTCTCACAGAGATTGCACGGGAAGAGAGCATGGGAAATAACACTCTTCTATATATCACAGATTCCTAGGTGCAGTCACTAGCCTAGTAAAGCAATATGCCTGTAAACCAGACAGAAAAAACTTTCTTTCTTCAGTAGCCAGGGTGCTGAGAGAGCTCCCAATAAGACTAGGATAAAAATAAGGATGGATATCAGAAGTAATATAGAGAAAATATTATATATTTTCATAAAAAATCATATTATAGAGTAAATAGAGAAAAGCAAATGCTTTATCACCGTTAATTCAAGCTAGTCTCAATGAATGATCACACTTGCAAAACCTCCTTTCCTCTCATCCGTCTTCTCATCTGTAAAAAGATTAATTACACCTACCTCCTGGGCTTACTGTCAACGTTAAATAAGATAAAGATGAAACAAGACAAATGCAATGCCTGGCACACAGGAGGCATTCAGCAGAGGGTCGTAGCTGTTGGTATTTCCCAACTTTGCTTTCCTCTGGCTCTGACCCAGACCAGGCCCCATTAATGTACATGGAGAATTGCAGTTCTAAGTTCACATTTAGAGAACTCCCAAGAGGGCAGAACGGGGCTCTCCATGGCATGCTAAAGTCAATACATGACTGTACGGCAAGGTCCTTCCTCTCAAAATATTTGAAAGATATAAGGACCTGATAGGTAAACATATACTGGCTTAAATGTGCAAAAAACATTACTCATTCTCCGTCATTCGGTAAAGGGCCAGAAAGAGTCTCACTTTAGAAAAAAGATATAGATAAGATCCTCTTTCTTCCCATTGCTGTCTAAGGTGTTTCGGGAAAGAATGCTGAAAACTGATACAGAGCCCAATGTAAAAAGGCCCTCACATAGCTCACAGTTAATTATAAGTAATTTTAATGAAACAATTTGTTCCCTCAAGTTTCCATGTTCTTCCCAGAGGTATAATGCAATACACCCAAGACACACACACTTATAAATTTGTAATAAACGCAGCCCTCCAGCTTGCCTAGACCACAGTTCTTGGCTGCTGCTTAGCGACAGGTGTCACATTCGCGGATGCCAGTGAGCCCTGAGGGTGTAATTTCACTTCTACATGAAGAAGCATAATAGATAGAACCAGAACCACCCAGTAGGAACAACTGCACCATTCCTGACTCACGGAGCTTGTTTTCACAGAGAACAAAATTCACCTCACTTGTGCTTTGCGTAAATGTAGAGTAGGGTGATGGGTTCTACAAATCGGGTGAAGGTGGTTCCCGAGGGTGCCAGACACCTAGTCCTCTTTGGTCTCCCTCACGCGACAGATCTGGTCTGAGTCCGGGCGGGGCACCGGGAACTCGATGCAGCTACCTGAGGAGGGAGCCCTGGCGGCCCGCCCCTCCCGCTGCAGGACCAGCTTTGGCGACCACTGCGGTTGCCAGCAGCACGCGCTGAGCCAGCCCGGGGAGCCGAGCCGCCCGGGGACGCAAGCCCCCCATTTGCGACTCCCCACCCCCAGCCGCAGTCCCGCCCCCGCCCCCACCCGCACCCCGAGCCGCACCGCCTCCGGCGCGGGAACTGCCAGCTCGGGCCGCGGCGGCGCGCCCTGCTCACCGTGACACCGTACTTGAGCGCGATGCCCTGCAGCGTGTCGCCCGCGCGGACCCGGTGCTCCACATGGCGCTCGATGACGCCGGCGCCCAGCGGCGCCCGCACGCTGGCCGTGCTGCCGTACGAGCGGGTCTTGGTGCGGGCCAGGCTCAGCGACAGCTCGGCCTCCTCGGACTCGGAGCCGGAGCGCGGGCGCGGCGGCGGGGAGGGGGCCGAGGGCCGCGGCGCGCAGGGGCCGCCTTCCCGCAGGGACTGTGAGGGCGAGGAATCCGCCATGGGTCCTGCCGAGGCCGCCGGGTCGGGGAGCTCGCCAAGGGGGCGGCGCCTCCGCCGCCGCCGCCGCCGCCGCCGCCTCTTCCTCCTCACAGGGGCAGCGGCAGGCCGTTCCGCGGGGGCGATGGGCGGGAAGCCGAGGCGGGGAGCGGCAGGCCGGGCATGGCGGGCGCCTCCTCCTCCGCGTCCTGCCTGCCCAGGGCGCCCGCGGCACACGTACCTGCAAGGGGAAGAGCGAAAGCAGCTCCCGCCGCTGCCCGCCCGTACCGGGAAGACCTTGCGGTGCGAGGGAGCGGGGGCGCGCTGAAGCCCGCGGCCATGGGGGCTAAGAGAGGCCCATCTGCAGTCGTCCTAGGCCCCAGGTGGACCCCTTCTCCATGCCGACAGAACCCTGACAGAACCCTGCCCTGGCCAAGGAAAAAAAACAAAAACAAAAAGCATTGCTCTGCCTCCTTTATTGATTCCCCAGCAGGAAGCAGCTTGCTCAGACCTTGAAGCTCTCAGTGCCAAGGGTACTTCCCTCTCCCCTACACCAGTGACCTCAAAGTCCACCTCACAGAAAAACTTAAGATCATCAAACACACACAGCTTCTCCAGGTCCATCTCAACAGCTGCAGCATCCAGTCCTTTCAACATTGCACCAGGAGGGCTAGTGCTTCTAAGGCCTGATGGGTGGCCTCAAAATAACCCCCTACTTGTTCGGATTTCACTCTTTGCACCCTAGTGCCAATTTAAGTCCTGTCTGCCTTGAAAGCCTGACCACATACAATTCATTCTCCTGGCTCAGTTGTAATTTACTATCTCCATTCATCTTCTTTTCATCAGTTTATTCTTCGATACCCTGAAATCACAACCCCCCCGTATTAATATTAATAATAACCACCACAACCTCTTATCTGTACTCTCATCTGAACATCCTTTCAACACACATTTACTAGAATCTAGTGCCGGATTTCTGTTCCACTGGATGGCTCTCCAAGAAGAGGTACCTTGTAGGAAGGTCCAGAGCCTGGAGATTTGGTTCGTTGGCTGAAGTTTTGATATGCTGCTGTGTTGGACAGAGGCAAAGCTAATACTGCTCAGGAGACAAAGGATGGGAGAGGAGCAAGCCTCCACATCATCATCCCACTCAAAATTCCTTCAGTGGCTCTCTGGGGACAACAGCATTACTAAAACCCTACATTGGCATTCAAGCTATCATTGCTATTTTTATTATTCATGTTCTGATCTGTATACTCCACGTATTCCTACCAAATAGAGCCTCTGAAACTGGCCTCCTTGTTCGTTCCTACTTTCATACCTTGCGTGCTATTCCCTCCAATGGTAACACCACTCTTCCAGTACCCTCTACTACATTTTACAAATCTTTAAGGTCTGTCTCAAATGATACATCCTCCATGAGATTTTTCCTAATTCTTCCCAATGGTTCATTTTTCTCACCTGCCCAGCTGTTACTGTTTCTTCTTTGAACTCCAAAAAGTTTGTATTAATATCTCTGATTTAGTATTTAACTCTGTTTTGTGTTTTTACTTGCATGTACATGCATGTGCTTGTCTTATCTCCTCCACCAGACACATGCTCCTGGGAGGCATAAGTAGGTCTTACTCATCTTTTCAGCTCCAGCAGTGCCTAGCTCAGTAGAATAAAAAAATATACATGATTACAAGTGGTTGAATTGAGGTGTAATAAAAAGATCCTAAATGCTAATTTAGATTGTTTAGCATAAGTCTACCATGCATGAACTTTTGGGTGGTATCCAGTGTGTCCATTTCAGGATGCAAAAAAGAGGCAAAATCCAAGTCTCAGTATATAGATGAGATCAGGTAATGTTTCAAGAAAGAAGTATCATCCTTCAAAGAGTTTACAATCTAGTAATGCGACAGCATATAATGTTTTCCGCAAGAAAAATTTACTGCATGACTGGAAGTTTTTATCTGAAGATTAAGGAACTGAGCCTGGTATGGTGGCTCATTCCTGCATTTCGGGAGGCTAAGTAAGAGGATCCCTTGAGCCCAGGAGTTCAAGACCAGCCTGGGCAATATAGTGAGACCCATCTCTACAAAAAATACAAAAATTAATCTGGTGTGTGTCATAATCCTATAGCCCCAGCTACTTGGGAAGCTGGGGTGGGAGGATCACTTGAGCCACTGCACTCCAGCCCTAGCAACGCAACACAATGAGACCCTGGGGTGTTTTTGGTTTGGTTTGGGCTTTGTTTGTTTGTTTTGAGACAGTCTTGCTCTGTTGCCTAGGTTGGAATGCAGTTCACTGCAAGCTCTGCCTCCCAGGTTTGAGCAATTCTGCCTCAGCCTCCTGAGTAGGTGGAACTACAGGCATTCACCACTATGCCTAGCTAATTTTTTGTTTTTATTTTTGTTTTGAGACGGAGTCTTGCTTGGTCACCAGGCTGGAGTGCAGTGGTACAATCTCAGTTTACTGCAACCTCTGCCTCCCAGGTTGAAGCATCTTCTGCCTCAGCCTCCTGAGTAGTTGGGACTACAGGCGCATGCCACAACACCCAACTAATTTTTGTATTTTTAGTAGAGATGGGGTTTCACCACGTTGGCCAGACTGCTCTCAAACTCTGACCTCAATGGATCCACCAGCCTCGGCCTCCCAAAGTACTGGGATTACAGGCCTGAGCCACCAGTTCTGGCCCTGTTTTTTTTAAAAAAGAACTTGGTTACATGAGATGTTATTAGATGTTCATTGTTTTCCTTTTTAAACCAGAACTTCAAAATTGTTTTAACATGTATATAACTACAACTTAGAAGTTCATCACAATTAATGATGAAACAGTAAAAGCATTTCCTTTGAAGGGAGGGTAAAAATATGAAGTCTTCTATTATTGCCTCTATTTAACACTGAAGGTCTTTGCCAATGCAGTTTTAAAAAGAAGAAAGGGAAATGAAGATTGAAAAGAAATAAACAAGATGGGTACGGTGGCTCACGCCTGTAATCCCAGCACTTTGGGAGGCCAAGGCGGGTGGATCACAAGATCAGGAGTTCAAGACCAGCCTGGTCAACATGGTGAAACCCTGTCTCTACTAAAAATACAAAAATTAGCCAAGTGTGGTGGCGGGCACCTGTAGTCCCAGCTACTTGGGAGGCTGAGGCAGGAGAATCGCTTGAACCCAGGAGGTGGAGGTTATAGTGAGCCGAGATCACACCACTGCACTCCAGCCTGGGAGACAGAGCGAGACTCTGTCTCAATTAAAAAAAAAAAAAGAAAAGAAAAAAGAAACTGTTGTTTACAGAGAGTAGGCAATAGTAAAATGTTTATAGGCAACACAGACAATGACTACATTGGAACTGTTCAAACAAGAGTTCACCAAAGTTACAAGATACAAGATCAATATGCAAACATCAATTGCACCAATCAATTAAAATACAAGTATGAAAAGATGACATTCCAGATGCCACCAAAAATACCTAGGAATACATTTAACAAAAGTAAAATGTTTCTGGTGGAGTGTGAGCAGGAAAAAAAATTAAGATAATAAAAGACTTTTAAAAAAGAAAGAAAAGCGTACCTTGTGTGGGAAAATATAAAATTTTTTGAAGTACCTAAAAGAAATATAAATAAAAGCAGAGATATACTATGTTTGTGAATGGGAAATGCAAAATAATGAAAATACCATTTTTTTTTACAAACTAATGTTAAATTCATTAAAACTCCAAACAAAATCTCTATAGAATTCTTCAAAGGGCATGACGGAGTTATCCTAAAATTCATATGAAACATAAAACACTAACAAGAGCCAAGGCATACCTGAAGAAGAATGAGGAAGGAGACTTACCATAATAGCCATCAAGTCTTAACACTATGAGAACTAAAGCAATGTGGGACTGGTGCTGAGACAGATGCACATACCAAAGGGACAATGAAGTAAGCCAGCAAGCGGGTTCACGTATACTGGAGAACTTAATCCATAACTGAGAGAAAGTTACATATTCAATGAATGCTGCTGAAACAATTAGTTTCCCGTGTGAGAAAAGATGCAATTAGATCCCTGCCTTATACTATACATCAAAATTAATCATAGATTGATTAGAGACATAATTGGGAAAAGCAAATTTTAATGCTTTTGCAACAATATTTTTATAATCTTGGGATAGCAAAGGATTTTTTTAGACAAGATACCAAAATCATATAATTCACATATCACATAATTCATCCATTTAAAGTGTATAATTCAATGCTTTTCTGCATATTTATATTACATTACTAATTTCTTGAATTGTGACAAATGTACATAACATAAAATTCACCATTTTAACTATTTTTAAGCATACAATTCAGTGACATTAAATATATTCATGGCCAGGGTGGTGGCTCACACCTGTTATTCTAGCACTTTGGAAGGCCACAGTGGGTGGATATACCAAAAACCATGAACTGTGCATTTTAAAAGGTGAATTTATGATATGTGAAATATGTCTTAACAAAACTGTATTTTAAAAGAGAGAAAGAGAATGGTTTAATAAAGCTCCATCACTCAGCTTCAACTGCTATCAAATCGTGGTCAGTCATTTCATTTATACCCCTACCCCACCACTCTACACCATCTCCCAGACTGGATTATTTTTAAAGTAAATTCCTTATATTATTTCTTCTGTAAATACTCAGTTTATCACTCCAAAAAGTAAGGACTCTTCAAAAAAAATTGATACTGTTATCACATTGAAAAAATTTTTTAAATAAGACCTTAGTCCAAGTGCTTGTGGTTCACGCCTGTAATCCCAGCACTTTGGGAAGCCGAGGTAGGCGCATCACTTGAGGTCAAGCATTCTCGACCAGCCTAGCTAACATGGTGAAACCCCATCTCCACTAAAAAAAGTAAAACAAAAAGGCCGGGCGCGGTGGCTCACGCCTATAATCCCAGCACTTTGGGAGGCCGAGGCGGGTGGATCACGAGGTCAAGAGATTGAGACCATCCTGGTCAACAAGGTGAAACCCCGTCTCTACTAAAAATACAAAAATTAGCTGGGCATGGTGGTGCGT